GCTATGTCTTATCCACTTGTACTAGTGCAACTCACACTAACACAACACCACCACGAGAATGATTCACCACCAAAATAATACCTGCTCTGTGGTGGTCCTGTAGGGGTCCTGACCATTGAAGGGTTCATAGGGTAAAAGGAGGTTAACAAAGTATGTAGATCAACAGATGTCGAACTAAAAAGCATATATATAAACTCTGAATCCTTTTTAATAATGAGCACTGGACTCAGGCCTGACTGTTTTCTTAAAGGGGAATTCCACCGACCTTTCAACCGTTCTGTATTATTAAATCGTTAACCTGTAAACAAAGTCATTCAGAGAGGTTTGATGTGAAACGTGCCATTCTAAAGAGCTTACTGAGCCACAGTGGTAGTGATAGAAACCAGACGTCCTAAGAGTTTAAAAGCTCACTAAAAGCTACATCAAATAAAGCTATTACATGAAATGGTTATGAATATGTTGCCTGATGCCGGAGACATTGATTTATGATAGTTTTGAGAAGGTTTTGGTCTAAAATGTATATTTTTAAATATACTCATGGAGTAGAGGCACATGCAGAGTGTTGTGAAAAAATAATTTAAAAAATTCCAGGTTTACCGCTATTTTACCATCATCAGCATTACATATTAAAAACGAACACCATCATAATCTGTTATGTTAATATCAGTTAGCATATAATCGTTTCAGGATGATCTCTATTGTGGTCACAGGCTGACCGTGGTGAATGATTAGAGATGGTAGAGAATGAAGAATACACTAGAAAGGAGTGGAGCTTTTCTAAAAGGAAGGAATGAATGAGGAACCACATCATCAGGACTTTCAAAACAGTAGGATGCACAGTAAGAGCTTCCTGATGATACGAAAACGAAATGAAATGACCTACAGTATACAAAAGTTTGTGTGCCCATGGTCGTTTTGTTGATTATCTAAGTGTAAATAAGTGAACACATTCTCTACAGAGAACACATTTCTGCACATTTTAATATACAATTACTGTTTATTTGCTGAATTTAACATACTAGGGGAAAAATGTGAACTTATTACATTACATTATTTTAAAAAGTTATCATTTTTTATATTATATTCTTTTTTCCAATATGTCAAACTCAATAAACAGAATTCGTGCACTAAAATTAGCAGAAAAAATGATATATTTAAGTGTGTTCCCTGTAGAGGACGCATTAACTCATTTTCACTCACAAGACCAGGTTGTTCAAACTTATGCTTGTCTAAAAACGTAACACTGCTTAATTTACAGCGCTTTACAGTAGTTTACAGTTTACAGTATTTAGAGTGCTTTATTGTAAATTAAGAAAAAAATATCAATTACCTGTATTTTGGAAGATTTGAGAAAGGCTTGAGAAAAATTAAATGTTAAAAAAGATTTGAGCTCTTTGAAGGTGGTCAAAAAGAACGATGGAAATAAAACGGGAAACAAAATCCAGGCAAAAAGAAAGAAAGCGCTGAAAGCCCTAAAGAAACTGCTGTACAGAGCTCAGACCGAACTACATGATGCCTGGTGTCCTACGCAGGAGACACTTTGCTGGTCTTGGGCTTGCTGGGCTCGTCCTCGTACTCTTTGAAGAAGGAGTTGGCCAGAAGCAAGGTCCAGAAGATCACAGACATGGACGTGTTCACGACAACGATGCCGATCATTAAGGGATGAATCATTTTGGCGGGAATGCCAGTGTTGGTGTCCCGGGTGTGTATATATTGGTGTGTGTGTGTGTGTGTGTGTCTCTTTATCCGTACCAACTGCCCCCCCTGCCCCCCCCTGCCACCCCCCCTATCCTTTTATTCCCTTGCTGTTATAATTCTCCCTCGCTCCAGAAAGGTAATCCTCCTAGCAGCCTCTCTCTATGTATCATAGCTGGAATGATGGTCAGGGGTCAGTGCTACAGGTCAGACATGTAACCATTACATTACCATACACTCTTAAAAACAGTCCCTACACTCATACACTCTGCTGCAAAAACCCATGGCAACCATTAAATGTTTCTGTTGGTTCCTGATAGTTTTGTAATGTGTTTTGGCTTTTTAAATGGGTTCATATCACAATATAAAGGATCCTAATGGTTTAACAGGTGACCAATGGCTGGTTCTATATGTTTATCTGATGGGATATAAAGGTGTTCTACAGAAAACTAGTGGTCTCTATTGGAATCTTTTAGGCCAATTTCCATTTTTTAAATCCTAATGGTTTCTAATAGCCCTTTTTTCAGCAGGGGACAGCAACAGGGGTTCTGTCACTTAGCAACAACAGCAGAATCATTTTTGGTGCACTGAATAAAGTGATGCATTGAATTTACTGCTTTCAAATATGAAGGTCACATGCACACTTTCTAAGCCGCTTATCCTTCTGGGTTGTGGGGGATGATGAAGCCTATCCCAGTGAGGGGAAAGCAGGAAACACCCTGGACAGGTCGCCAGTCCATCGCAGGGCAGACACACAGACATACACATTCACACACACACCCATTTTAGCGTGTCCTATTGGCCTGACTGCATGTCTTTGGACTGTGGGAGGAAACCCATGCAAATACAGGGAGAACATGCAAACTCGACATAGAAAGGACCCTGGTCACCTGGCCAAGAATCGAACCCAGGCCCTTCTTGCTGTGCGGCAACTGTGCTACCCACTGTGCCACCATACTACCCAAAGAAAGACAAACATCACCAAAACAATTACAAAGTTACAAAGTTATGCATTACTGTGACCACATTACATTTGTCTGTAAGTCAGTAATGTAACGCATCACTTGTTCTAAATTCAGTAATTCACATTTCAGTAAACAATAGTGCCTGCTTGCGCAAAAGAGACAGAACAACAATGGCAGAGCTGTCTACAACTTTTGAGGCGTGGAGATTCTTTCAATTTGTTGTGCAAAAGGACAAGAATGTGAGAGTAGAATGTTTGGCCAGGGCAGAAACAGCCATCCACTGCTTCACAACATCAACTCTCTTTTATATTGTTTTATATATTGACATTGTTTTATTTTGAGACATATAGTCCACTGCCAGTGCTTTGATTGCCCTGCTTGAAAGGTGTTCCAGCTTTTTTTGCATGTGCAACTGAGTTGTGTACTTGCCATGGCATTTTCCTGTGTAGTGCTCTTTAGGCTGGTTTTCACTGAATTTGCTGTCGGCTTTGTGTTACTAAAAAGCCCAAAACATAAAGTAGAAAAAAGGTAAATTAAAATTGTTTCATTTGCTTTTTAAATGCACAAATCTTCACTTTATTAGTATTGTTACAATAATGCTAATTTCCACTAGCACCTTTATAGGAATTTCAATGTAATGTTGAAATTTAGCACTTCACACTACTCACTTTTTGACTACGTGCGTCAATTCTAAAACATGGACATTTGAAGCATTTGAAGCTTGTGACATGCAAATGCCTTGTTCTTTACTTCGTATGTTGCAGTGTTTTACAGCAATCTGAATATTACTGGAGGAGTCTGTTAGCTGTCCGCTGAGCTGTTCTGCCCAGACTTAGTTAAACAAAACCTTTGACTTCATATACATATAATTTGTAACAACAAACATTTAATTTTACTTTATGTACATACATTTATGAGATCCTTCTTTTTCCTCCGTTTCTTATTTTGTCAGTGACACACACAACACCAACTTGAATGCTAACGGTGCCACTTTGTGGAGGATGTTCAGACCGTTGAACATGACTTTACAATGACCTGTTTTTCACACCCAAACGAAAAGCAATTTATTGAGAACATATATTTTAATTGATTTTTCTTTAATCCAGTTTTAATTGTAATTGTGACAGCTCTAAATAATAAATGATGCAATAAAAAATATAACACTGACTGTAACATAATTAGAATGGCACACATGAAAAGAACAATTTAAGCATTTATAGTTTCTGAGGTGTCATAAAAGACCTGATTTTTTGTGGTCAATACTGACACCGATTTTAAGGGGCTAAAAATTCTGATAATTGATGTCATCGGCCGATACGGTTTTCTATTTTTGATTCTAATATAACATTCAGATAGTTAAACAGTGCTTTCCTGAGAGATAGGATTGTCAGTTCTTCATTGTTACACTTCTAAAACTCAAATAAAAGGCAGAAACTAGTCTTAAAGTCTTAAATAATGTAAATACTGCAGTTTATATTGGGCTTCCCAGTAACACAACTATCTAAAGCACAATCATCATGGGTTGTTAATATTGACCAAGATATATAGATCATGCCCTAATATATGACCACTGCTTTTACTAAAGACTCCTTGATGATGCCTTTTTAAGAGTGTACGGTTGTAGGAAGGAAAAAAACCTTAATTAGTATAGAACCATTTAATTATGTGTAAGTTCTTTAAAGTTTAAAAAGGTTCTTCACATGCTCTTTCAGGAACTCTCCACTGAAAACGTCTTTAGGGAACCTATGGCACCACTCTAAATAACTTTTCACAACAAAAGTCAATAACATGGAGACAATGTAATAAATGTCTTGTATGATTGATTTAAAAAATGTTCAGAATTCTGTCGTTTGCAATTTGCAGTCCTATTTTGTTAAACGCACCAAATACCTAAACTAGACATCAAAAAAACATGTCAGCTAAAATGTCCTGACCCTGATGAGTTTGTCGGCTCAGATTCCAGTGCGTTCCCTTCTAAACAACAATAGGACAGGTCTATATATACAATATAATCCTCAACATAATCTTAACCCAGACTATACCTCAGAGCCATTCTTAATCTAAATCTCCACGAGCACAGCTGCCACAACACAACATAACCAACAAGACAGAAGAAAAGTGTGGCCTGGAAAGAGATTTGCGTCACTTGAGGGTTTCTGGGTCTAGAGGCGTCTAGACTTGTGGGTCATCTCAATAGAATCAAGAAACCTAGGCCTACATATTCTACAGTTTTGAGACAGAGTAGATGAGCAGATGGGGTTGTGAGGTCAGATGAGGACATGCCAGAAACTACGGCAGCACATGACCTTTTAGTAAGGAATGATGTATTTGAGGCAAATAGCATATAAAATAAGTTTAGTTAAGACAACTTTCCTGTTTTAAAACAAACACCTTCAAGACATAACAGAACTCTTTACAGAAACAGTGACAGTGAGATGTGTAACAATAAGTCCAACAACTTAGGCTTGAATCTGTACGGACCGTCCACCAGAGAGCGTTATAGTGTCCAGCTGCATGTCGGCTTTGGCTTTGCAGCACTCCTGAATTCCCTGAAACACAAACTTTAAGGTCTTTGCTCTCTTTGTAGGAGAAGGAGAAAATCCTAGCGTCTGCATATGTAACTTGAAAAACTTGCTTTGTTTTTCACAGCGTTGTCGCACAATTTTAACAAATAAAATGTTTTTTTATTTTTAAGACATCAACAAATACCATTTCCACTGCATAACACTGTACACTGTACTGATGTCTAATTTATTCAAACAGATGCTAATTTTAGTGCACAATTTCTGTTTGTTTCCCGAGTTTAAGAAATTAGAAAAAAAAGAAAAAAAAAAACAAAACATAAAACGTGCTGTAACTTTTTCACAGGCCACATTTTCTATTTAACTTTAAACAGTAATTGTGCAATAAAATGTGCAGAAGTGCGTTCTCTGTAGAGGATTTACTTATTTTCATATAGAAAATCAACAGAAACGTAATTTGAAGTCCATCCAAACCTTTACATATGACTGTATATACAGTTTGAGATGGATGCATGTATGACATATGACTGTCATTAGCCCTCCTCTCAATTTCCCTAACCGCTCTTTATTCATCTTGCAGTTCTTTTGATGTGCTACTGTAAATTAGTTTAATATACACTCTGCAACCTGCCTCTTCTCCTGATTCTACATCAGCTCTTCAACCTGGTCTTTAGCCATCGTGTTAGAATGTCATACCTTTAATAACAGTAAAAAGAAGACATCTTCAGCCATGTTATAACCTTCGGTTTTTAAAATGTATTTTAAGACGTAAGGATCTGAACTGTTTTATGGTCTGTTCATGATGAAACATTCACACAATGACAGCTGATCTTCAGAAATGGTGAAAAAAAATTACAAAAGTCACTACAAAAAAACTACAAACTATTTGAACTACAGAACAGGCAGGAACAAATAAAGACAAGCAAAATCAAAACAGGTATTAGAGTAAAGTAGACAAAAACACTACAACAGAAATGTAAGAAAGAAAACAAAGAGCACAGCTACAGACAAATATCACCAAAGGCGGAAGCAACAAGGTAGGCCTACACCTATACATATGTCCATTCAGGGTGAACTTGGCTTACAATTAATTGCTGCCTGTTATGCTCATACCAGCACAATACTCACTACCATGTCAGTCTCCATAACACTTTATTTGAAGGTTACCTAGACAAAACTTCAAAACACATGCACAAGCATTAAATTGTGTATTTGTAAAGCAACTCTTGAATACATTATGGCAGTAATCACAAGATGGAGTAAATGACATTGTATTGCCACAAAGGGCTTCAAACCAAAGTGATGGTAATTTGTCTCATTTATAACATTGTTATGAAGCATCATTTCTAAAAACTGGAACTTATAAGATGGAGGCCTAGTTAAGAGCACCACATACCAGTCTATGGAAGATTCTGGTACCCATAAACTATGTGATGATTGTCATACATGTTTTTCCATATGCATCCATACAAATACAAAAATTATGTACTTGAGTAAAAGTAGGAGTTTTATTTCAAGTACAAAAGTACAAGATTATGTACTTTTAAATATGCACTTTGATTTATCACAGATTTTGTGTAATATTATTCTAATAACATTTTCATTACAGAGGCCAGCAAACATGAAAAACAGAGTTAACTGTTCAGGTCTGCAGCCACATTCATTCAATGTAACATACTTTAATTCAAGTTCTATTACTTGGTAATGGTGCTTCATGACAGTGTTATAAATGGAGCAAATGTCCATCAAAGTGTGATTCACTTTATAAAATATCTGATGTCATACTGGGATTAAGACATAAGGTATTTATAAATGCTCATGTTTTGCTTTAAAACTGCTTAGTCATGATTCAGTGCTTATAAATGTGTTATGAAGTCCCAATGTAGGTAGCCTTCAAATAAAGCATTACCCTGGCGTCACTGCTGTTGTAATGGTCCACCGCCCAAATATCTCATCAGCAGTGGCCCTACAGTGGTCTCGTTTTATTGATGAACAACAGATCAGGGTACAGTCAATAACTGCAAACCTACCAAGTGCACCTATATGGTAGGAGTTTCTGATAAAATGGCCAATCTGTGTAGATATCTAATAAACACTTTCTTGTAGGGCAGTTATAGAGAACAGTTTGTCTCAGTTCTGCTGCTCCTGTTGGTTCTGCTGGTTGTCCTGCTGCAAGAAGTATTCACAGTACAGCGCTCGCACCTCATCTCCGGCAGGATTGTCGCCTGAGGCCGGCGCCTCATCAGCCGGCTGTGGATTGTCCTCCTGTCTCACAGCCTGCACCCACTCGTCCACAAAAGTGTCCCCGTGCACTTCGCAGACATTGTGGAGGATGCAGCAGGCCAGGATCATGGTGGGCACCACGTCCATGTGACAGTCGTTTCTTTTTAGCAGGCACTGCCAGCGTGCCCTGAGCCTCAGGAAAGCGTCGTCCACCACACTGCGGGCCCTCTCCAAACGCCGGTTGAAAGCCCGCTGCCCGGGCGTTAGTCCCTCAGACTCAGGGTAACCCTTTAGTAGCCAGCTTTGGAGGGGATACCCAGCATCCCCCAGCATCAGGTAACCCAAGGGCTTGCCCATGAAGTTCCGAGGCGGTGGATCACGGGGTGAGAGGCCGCCCTCACACCCCATGGCCCACAGTGTAGAGTTCTGTAGGATGGCGGCATGCTCGGTGCCCCCAGGGAAGCCAGCGCACACATCCCAGAACTGGCCGAGACCGTCCACTGCGCCCTGAGTGACCACAGAGAGCCAGCCGCGGCTGTTCCAGTAGCTGTCAGCATTGGCAGTCGGTGCAATAATTGGCACGTGGAGGCTGCCCAGGACACCCACGCAGTGCGGGAAGCCCCAGCGAGTGCTGAAAAGACGGGCAGCATCCTCCAGCTCCTGCTGACTGGGTGTGCGGAGGTAGAGTGGGCGGAGCATGACAGCGATGGCATGGCACACCTCCCGCACACACTTGCACACGGTGGAGCGACCTACGCCAAACAGCGTGCTGATGGTCCGGTACTCAACGTTAGAGGCCAGGCGCCACAGGGCCACCGCCACACGCTTCTCCAGGGGCAGCGCCGGCCGCAGGCAGGTGTCCTGCCGAGTGAGGCGCGGTTTCAGCTTCCCACAGAGGAGGAAGAAGGTCTCTCTGCTCATTCTAAAGTGCTCCAGCCAATCAGAGGGTTGGAACTCTGTCATGACCACCCGCTCCCACCAATCAGTGCTCTCTATGTTGGTCCAAGCACGAGTGCGTGCGACGCTGACAGAACGGGTGCTCTGAGCAATCAACATCTGGAAAAAGGAAAACAAAGCTGGACTCAGTGTTCCAAACAGAATTGTGTATGAATACTTTATAACAGCATACTTTACCATCCATAGCAATAAAAAGATTAACGGCTGGTCAATAAGTGTATTTTATAGCAAAGACTAAACATAACCCAAAATACCAAAAGAAAAAAACATGTCCACGTGTTGACTGACTAATTTTAAACAGCAAAACTGTAACTATTAAGCTCTATTTTACCCAGAAAGTGTGATTGTTTAGTTACAACATAATTAGGCACACATCAGCCTGTATTTCATGTCAATAAGTAAATTCTTTAGAGAGCCTTATAAGAGATTTACGAAAAAAAAGACACCCATGGCAACTACTTGATAATACTTAAAGAGGGAATTCCACCGATTGAAATGTTGGCGGAGATGTAAACAAGCCATTCAGAGTGGTTTCATGTGAAATGTTTCAATGTAGAGAAACTTTGTAGAGCACAGACTCTGTACAGTGGTGGTGATAGGAACCAGGGGTCATGATGTCTACAACACAAATATAACCAATTTATTTACTATCCAAAACCACCAGTGAACCTACATACATCTTCATAATTTCCATATGGAATACTGAACCTACACATGTCTCCTGAGTTTTTGTATGTAGTATTGATAACAGTGGTCTAAAGGTAAACCTTAGAAAAAAACGTTTTTGGGCACTATTTTGCTTTACAACATTACTCATGTACCTATCCACCATTAATGTGTTTTTAAAAAATGTCTTAGACATCACGCAGGTATCTGTAACCATTTCACATAATAACTTTGTGTGATGTAGTTTCTGAGCCTTAAGCGCCACAGACACCTGGTTCCATCATCACCACTGCAAACAATTCTGACGAGGTGTTTCTCTAGCATCACACATTTCACATCAAACCATTCTGAATGATGCTATACTAATATTGATACATGTTAAGGATTTAATATTGCCATTTATTTTGACTCAAGTTTCGTAAGTACCCATTGTCTATTAGCTAAACAAATCTGTTTTAGTGGGTTTGGTTTGTATACTCATCCAGAGAGAGACCTGTGACTGCACACAGACCAAAACTCGTCATGAATTTAGAAACATTTCTCCTCATTTTTGAGGCAAAAGCCTAAAGGCCAGTGTTTTCACACAGTGAAGAAAGAACATACGAATACTAGCTAAAGTATGGAAAAGGCTAAAGGAAGTACACTGGACAATTTAATTATGAAGCTGAAACCCAAAGTTGTGGCTCTCAAACAGCTCTTAACTGCTAATGCTAAGTAGCTCATAACTAGGACCATTTTTCAGAGAGGACCGCTGATCCAGCCTCTCTGAGACCAAGTTAAGGAGGTTAACCAGCTAACAGGCGCCGTTATGCTGGCTATCGTGGACCTTGTATATATTTTACAATGATAAATGTCCACTGAGACGCACACAGACACCGCATAACTTACCATGAGCATCCTCTTCTGTCTCTGGAGGAAATACTGCCTCTGTCTGATTCTCTGCTGGGCTTCATTCCGTCTCCGAGTCTCGGCGTTAGTCAAGTCTCTCCGCCGCTTCATTAGCATGTAAGTAAGCGTGAACATCAGAGACCTGGTCTTTTCGTCGTAGTCCATTTTGAGGCTTTTATATTGTTATTATGGGAGTGAGCGAAGCCTCAGGTTACACATTCAAGCCCAGCTTCCAGAGTACCGTAGTGCTCACAGCTGTAATCTTAAGTTTTTATTTAGCCTTCTAGCTGTCGAGCTACCGTTTCGTCTTCTTCTTCTTCAGTGGCAACGAGCGGCAGAATAAAAGTCCACATCGCCACCAAACGGCCGTTTTTTGACACGAAACAGGGAGGAAAACAAAAGCTAACTGCTGTAGTTCAGAACGGGGTGCTGATCAGCTCAGCAGGCTGTACGTAAAGCTAGAGTTAACGTTAATATAGATTGCTTCAATTTTCTATTCATCTAGGTATTTTATCTATTTCCTATTTGTACTTAAGGTTATTATCACTGTTTTATTATATTGCTTTGAGTGGAGTAGAGAGACAAGGACAGGTCTTTAGGGAAAAGGGTGTAGGAAACCAAACAAGGGGTTGTCTTCTATTAGTTTATACTGTACTGTGTTGTCATTGTTGAACATTACAAAATAAAAAACAGAATGTTCAAAAAACAAAACAAAAAAAAATATATAGATTGCTTCAGTGTTGCAGTAATTACCCAAAAAATAGAGTAATCCATTACAATTTACTGCTCTTTAAAAGTAATGGGATTGATGACTTATTTCGTGGAAAAAGTAATCTCTTATTTCTTAAAACAAGCAAAATTATCTGCCAATATAGTGAAATAATTTGACTCAATAAAATTACTTGAGTAAAAATGTCTTGACATAAGTTAAATAATTTTATAATATTCTCACAACATTCTTAAAATGAGAGACATTATACAGCAATCAGGCGTAACATTATGACCACCTCCTTGTTTCTACGCTCACTGTCTATTTTATCAGCTCCACTTACTATATAGGTGCACTTTGTAGTTCTACAATTACAGCCTGTAGTCCATCTGCTTCTCTGCATACTTTGTTAGCGCCCTTTTACCCTGTTCTTCAGTGGTCAGGACCCCCATGGACCCTCACAGAGCAGGTACTATTTGGGTGGTGGATCATTCTCAGCACTGCAGTAACACTGATGTGGTGGTGGTGTGTTAGTGTGTGTTGTGCTGGTATGAGTGGATCGGACACAGCAATGCTGCTGGAGTTTTTAAACAGTGTCCACTCACTGTCCACTCTGTTAGACACTCCTACCTTGTCAGTCCACCTTGTAGATGTAAAGTCAGAGACTGTAGCTCATCTGCTGCTGCACAGTTTGTGTTGGTCATCCTCTAGTCCTTCATCAGTAGTCACAGGACGCTGCTGGTTGGTATTTTTGGTTGGTGTACTATTGTCAGTCCAGCAGCGACACTGAGGTGTTTAAAAACTCCAGCAGCACTGCTGTGTCTGATCCACTCAGACCAGCGCAACACACACTAACACACGACGACCATGTCAGTGTTACTGCAGTGCTGAGAATGATCCACCACCCAAACAGTACCTGCTCTGTGAGGGTCCATGGGGGTCCTGACCACTGAAGAACAGGGTAAAAGGGCGCTAACAAAGTATGCAGAGAAGCAGATGGACTACAGGCTGTAATTGTAGAACTACAAAGTGCACCTATATAGTAAGTGGAGCTGATAAAATGGACAATGAGTGTAAAAACAAGGTCATAATGTTATGCCTGATCGGTGTATATTGACTAGATTTAAGATAGCATTTTTTGCAGTGTACACAGTTTCGCCACATAGGAGACCACTTATTAAAAGTATGCATTCCTGTCTTTTTCTTAGAGCCCCAAAATCAGTAAATGCGCCCCTGGTTACTGCTGAGTATCTTATTACAGTCGGATAACTGTGAATAAATGTCTTTAAATCATCTATATATCTTATCGTCTCTTCTTTGGTTGAAAGGGCATCCATTTGTGCTGAAGAAAGAATCGCTGTTTTCTTTAGGGTTTTGTGTGACTACTGAGGTACACTAATGCTACGCTAGCAGTGCGCTAGGCTACGCTATTCGCGATAACACACGACCTCGAGTGTTCTATTGCTTTTATACAACAGTTAAATAAATAAAGTGAGAAATTAATAAATTGGGCTGTGAACGCGCCCTTTAATATGTTTTAATGTCAGCAATTCCTTCTGCCAAATTATATATCCTTAACAAGCAGCTCGTTGCTACGTCAGACTAACGAGCTCCGCTCACTCACTGCACAGCCGGCAGTTCGTTCAGCTCCTTACACTAAACTCCCAAACTGTCATCACCGCTGAGCAGCTTCTCTGGTTTTTATCGCGTCAGTTTTATGGCTCAGTCCGATTTGGTCAGACTCTGAAGATCAGACTACACGTCTGGCGAATGGTATTCGGTTCGTTTCTGGCTAATTCCAGGTTGTTTAGCTGTTCTTCTGTCACAGCTGCCGACTGAAAAGCTGCTCAGTGGTGATGACAGTTTGGGAGTTTAGTGTAGACTCATCTTCAGAGTCTGACCAAATCGGCGATCTTGAAAGTGTCCGTTTTCTGTTTGTGGCAAAGTAAGAAGCAAAAACGTTCAAACGGCTTGAGCGTCTCCTACAGTTGTCAAAGTCGTTGCTTAGCAACGGCGTCTTAGCGGAGATATACAGTGTTTGTGAAAAACCCGTGATGTTATGGCGAAATATCAGCGCGGATAGAACGCCTCTCAACCAATCAGCTTGCGTGGCCGGAACTAACTGTCGTATAAATTTGCGTAATGCATGCTGGGTACTGTAGTGAAAGAACGCTGATGAACGAAAACATGAAAACAATTTAAAGTTGTGAATTCTGTCAAACTGATGAAGCGGAGGGATATAACGCTCCTCTCTAGAATACAGCACAGCACAATGAATAACACACTGACCTCTAGTTTTAGGCCGCAAAGCCCCTTTAAAAAAAGAGGTCTTAATGCACTCTTTTCAAGCAGTGGCTTCTCTGTGCTACACCCTTAAAAAGAAGGTTCTTCATGGGTTCTTTAGTAAAGAAAATGTTGAACCATAAACACTCAGAGAACCCTTTGCGTGAAGAAAGGGTTCTTTGCGTTGCTAAGGGTTCTTCAGGTTGATGGAAAGTGTGTCTTACATGGTTCTACATAGAACCTTTTTTGAAATTGGTTCTATATAACACCAAGAAGGGTTCTTCTATGATAACAAGCCTGACATTGCAACAATAGAAGAACCCTCTTGGTGCTATATAGAGCCCTTTTCAAAAAGGTTCTGAATAGAACCATCTACAGCACATTGTCCATCAGTCTGAAGAACCCTTTAACAATGCAAAAAATGCACTAATCATGCAAAAGGTTCTTTGAGTATTCATGGTTCTGTATAGAACTGTTTTCTTTACTAAAGAACCCTTGAAGAACCATCATTTTTAAGTGTGTAGTGTGTGTGTTCTTTATTTTTATGACATGTGGATGAAACAGAGCTGTTCTCCACTGAAGTCATCTAGTTTGAGAGAGTAGTTTTCCAGAAGCAGAGCTCTAAGGTCCTCCTGCGGCGCTGCTGTAATGCTGTAGAGCGGTGCGGCTTCTTTTTTTGGGTGTATTCTTTGATGGATTTTAACAGGATGCGAGGAAAAGCTTTTCCACACTGAAAGGCTCCTGCACTATGAATTCTCCCTGGATTTCTGATGTGCGGTGATGAAAAACTTTTTTTGTGTCCAAGGAGTCTCCAGTCACTCTTTCTTCCTCTGTGGAGCCTGCCCTGCTGTTTTCTTTCTCTCTCCTGCTCCTTTCATCATAACATCCTGTCATTTTAGGATGGGAAATTACTATCATCCAAAACATTATGCTGTCATAAGAGCTCTCAGCAATCCATTTCCTTTTTTATGGACACAAACAGTGAAATCCAAGAAGACAACGTGTGTTCTCAACCGCACTGTGCTCCATGTTTTAAACACAGACATTCAAAGCTTCCAAAAGACATTCTATGTTTAAGTTTGTGACAGACCTATTAGTATATATTTTACCTTGTAACACAATGACTCTTTCTTTCAGTAGCCCACTGATTTGGCTCCTGCTCAAGTCAGTGACATATCAGGACCTCCAGAGTGACTTTCCTCACTGGAAATAATGATTGGCCATCATTTGGTAACTAAGATGATGGTTAATCTAATGTGTTAGGGCTTTTATTTGACTCTTTAAGTCCTCTTTATAACCAGTACGAGAGCTTGCTTAGTTATATGGCTATATCTACTTAGATACCAGAGAAAAACAATTCCTGATTGGCAAGTTTTCTGCTGAACGGACCTAAAACCTTTGTTTCCTCCAAAACTTAACAATCAAACAAGTGTAGTACTTTAATACATACACCAGGGGTCGGCAACATGCGGCTCTTTTACTTTTTGATAATTTGGTGACAAATTGACGTATTTGCATTCATAAACACTCCAGCTGGTTTCCTGACACGTTTAATCTGCAATGAGAAACTGTCAAACACTAAAAAGTCGCAAGGCTGAAGTCGCTTCTCATTCAAATTTTCCCGTTCCACCTTAAATAGTGCAACATTTACATTCTGGCGCCTCAGGCACCATTTAAGGTGGAGCGGGAAAATTCAAACAAGAAGCTGACGAATGAGAAACTGAGTTCAGCCTCGTAAAAAGGTCGAACGTTGAGAGACATTTTACAAGAAACTATTCCACTTTCGCGGAGAAGTTTCCTGTCGGAGATGCGAGAAAAGCGACTATATATTATTGAAAATAAATGAACTAAAAATCATACACATGCATTTTTTAGTTTCCAGAAATCATTAAGCCCTGAGAGTCTGTAATGTGAAAAAAACTAATTATAACATAACAAAATGTAACTTTTCCTAGTACAAATTGTGGTTTAGCATGTAAGATTTCAGTTCTTACTTTAAAAAAAGGTTGGAGGAGTTAAAGATTGGGGGTGGATTTGGGAAAAGCCGTTGATTTTTACTTTAATTTTTATTTTAATATTTTTTAATCTATATTACATGCTAATGTAATATAAAATTTAATTTAATTTTAATTCTGATTTCTGAAATTCAAAATTGTGGATTAAAAGCTGAACCAGTTTTCCACGTTGAACTGCCACGATGAGGCGCTGTGACCGATCTGCCAGTGTAGCCGTGTAGCTGACTATGCTGAGCGACCGTGTTTTGTAAAGGTAGCTAAAGCAGATGTTTACACGAGGCCGGACAGGCGGCGGTGTTCTCAGGTAATCGCTGTAACCATAGAAACACAGCTGCATTTTGTTATTCAAAAAGGTGACGTCGGCGACGTAGATTACCCATATCACCTTGCGCTTTTCAGAACAACAATCATCTAGCTAGAGGTCTCAGTTACAAAAACAACAAAACGGAGGCACTTTGTCAGCTCGAGCAGTCAGTCTGGTGAGTAACGTTAGTTAAGCGTTTGATTCGTCTTTTACCAACGTCCATTACCAAGTTAATACAAAGTTCTGTGATTGAATTTGCTCGTCGTTAACTCTTAAATGCCTTTAGTTAGCTAACTTGGCTTCTCTAGTAACGTTAGCAGTGTTAATCTCCTGCTTCTTGTTCGAATTTGCCCGTTCCACCTTAAATGGTGCAGCAGTTACATTGAGGCGTCTCGGGCGACTGAATGTAACTGCTGCACCATTTAAGGTGGAACGGGGAAATTCGGAAAGGAAGCCGACTTCAGTCTCGGACATTAGCGAGGCTGCTTACTGTGTTTACCCTCTGAGAAACGCAGAATGAAACTCGCTTTGAATAAAGTTCTTATATCTTACATTTGAACTTCGTTCTTGTTTAAACATGTATGATGTCTGTTTGAACTGAGTTAGCTAACGCACTGTTAAGCACTTAGCTCTGCTGTTAGCCGTGGATTTCCGTGTTAAAGCGGGGGCTAGCGGTTAAAGCTAACAGCTGTTTTGCTTCGTCGGCTTTTTCTGTTATCAGGCAAAAACAAACGACAACGTTTTAGGGGCTTTATTCCCCCTAAACCAGAATCCGAACATAGCTAGGAATTTCGGCCACCGTAGTTATGTTATATAAATTCAGCCTGTGAGTATGTTTTGTTGTGGCTAACTTTTGTCAGACTACGTTCAAGCAAACTGTAATCCGTGTAGATTTCGTCTGAAGAAGGTCTAGAGCTCTGCGGATTGTACCATTGACCATTTATCTTATTTTACATTTTTACATTTTATCTATCCATTTTGTCTGGCGGATGAGTGACAGACGCGTCTGTTATGTGGATTAGGTGTGCATGCCTTTACATGGCTGGGAGCTTTTCGTGGCAGTATTTATAAGCGCATATTCCTGTGTTTTATGTATCCTATTACACTGTGGTAACTTTCTTGAAGAGAATAAAGGCTTAAATATGTATAAGGGAACGATCTGTGTTCCCAAAGCATGACGGGGTCTTTTATTATGTTTTAAGTGGATGTGGCCTGGCTTGTATATTCGCTCATACATATAGATCTCTCAGAGAAATTGTTGTAGTTAATATAGACAGGCCTACTGTACATACTAGGGGTGGGCGATGTGGCAAAATCATATCACGATACTTCAAGACATTTTCACCATACACAACATGCATCACAACATTTAGTTCGTGAGTTTAATTAGAGATTTAAGTTGAAACACAAAATAGAACCTGTAGTGCCGTGTATAATAATAATAATGATGATAATAATAATAATAATAATAAACATAGCTACAATGTTTTTTTTTATTCAGTATATTACTAACTGTGCTGCACTCAGTCCAAGTAAACAGGCTTAATTATGGTCTCTTTGTAATGAAACATATATTTAGTCAGTGTTATTTTAGTACTAACAATACCTGCAATATGATGATATCATCATATTGCCCACCCCTAGTACATAACAGCCTAATAAATCAAACATTCCAGTGCTTCTACTTCCAACCTGATTAAGAAAGCATAAAATGGTATCAGACATACTTTGGGGGGGGGTGTATGGCCCAGCTAGCATTTCGTTCTATTTTGTGGTTGTGCTCAGTTAACTTGGGTACTTTAATAGCCTGTAACTACATCACAATTCATCAAACTATATCTTGCTTATGGGTTCAGTTCTCTGACATCTTTTAAAAAAATATATACGTAATGCATGGTCTGAGGAAGTGGACAGTAGCATGTTTGGTCAGTCCAGCACATTACATTTTAAATAAAACTACAACTGTTATGTTACTGTGGTGAATATTAGCTTTAGTTGAAAGTATTCACAGTAAGTTATACAGTAATCCGTCCACTGAAATAGCAGTACTAACTGCGCTGCATTTACCTCACTTTTTTCACTTTTTCAGCCCAGCTAGAGCTTGTGCCTGATTTTCTGCTTGCTGCTGGCAATTTAGACTAGGATAATACTGCATGATCTGCATATCAGAATTCAATATTGTGATTATACTGCTACATGTTGCACTCCTTACAGTACGTTACAATATGTTTAAATGTACACAGGTTACTTACAGTACTTACAATATGTTAAAACATGTTGCTGCATCCTTGACAGGGTAAAAGATTGGCTTGCATTATTATTATTTTTTTTTTAAGCAAAAAAGGAGTCGTGTTTCATCATATGAATGACTGATTTTATCCAAAGTCCCACAAAAACTCATCTGGAACATCCGAGGTTGGGCCGAATGCTCACAGCACGTAATAAAACCTGTAGTGTTTAGTCAGGGACTCATTTGTGTTTTGCATCTGGATTTAGTCTTAGTGCTGCGAAGACCAGTATTGCAATGTTAATTAACACATTATGCAGTCGCATACAGAAAACACTGCTGATCAAATTACACGTTTATGTTGGTTTCTCTAGTGAAAGAAGTTAACACATCCTCTACAGAGAACACACTTGGTTTTAGAGCACAGTTTCTATTTATTTGCTGATTGTGCAACCCTGTTAGCAGACCATGGACACAATCCTGAATGTATTGAGATAAACATAGTGGTAGTAGTAGCTTAAGCAGTGGTGATGTGGGGTGTAATGCAGGAGTGTCCAGTCTTACACAGAGGGGACCACTGTAGCTGTGGGGTTTCATTACAACAAAGCAGGAGCACACATGATCAGTTGTTGAATACGGAGACTAACTGATTAAACAAGTAAATCAGGCATGTTTATGTCTGAATGTACTGAAAACCTGCAGCCGCACCAACCCTTTTCGGATAATATTGAACTCCCCTGGTGTAATGGTATTTACAGGTTTGATGCAATTTTTGATTCTCAGGTCAAGAGTCGATTTAATGTTTGATATTCTACAGAGCTCTAATTACATAAAACACAGTTTGGTTTGGTTTTGATTAGTTTGGCAACAAAAGCTGTTTATTGGTTTTTGATAACACAGACACGCTTAAAATACAACACTAAAACAAATATTGGTGGGTGGGGATGTTATGATAGTATCCGCATCATACTCATAGAACCGCAATCAAGCAATGAAATTTAAAACAAATATTAAATTATGCTTCTCTGGCCCTTCAAGGCCTCGACAAAAGCAATAGCATTTGACCAGTTCTGGATTGTGGCAGCCTTGTAAAATCTGCCTGTAGCCTGTTCCAAAATAAGAATATCTGAGAAATAGCAAGGCCAAAATGAAGATAACTCAATATCTGGCAAAAACCAACCCTTCAAAACAGACTTTTAGGAAGCCGTTAAGGCTGCTAATATAATGCTTTTTGCTGTGAATTAAAAGTTACGTTAGAATCATCACCTAGTAAAAGCAACCTGGACATAAAGGAATATCAATATTTAGGAGAACAGACTATGTTTGTACCACACGACTACAAAAAGACAAATGTAGGCACTGCCAGAACATATAATCCCCAAAAGCTTTTTTTTTCTTCTTGAAAGTGCTCCTAAAATGGGTACCCCTAGAATTTGAGTGACTTCAGAAAGAGCCTGTTTGAGAGCATAAGCCCCACCCCCCTCTCTGCCCATTTTACTCTAATAGACTACACTTGGATCCCAGTTATGGTCATTGACAGTGGTTTCCATGAAAGACAGACCTCTACAATGAATCAGTGAATACAGTGTGGGAAAGTAATTGCCGTAAGCTTAAATAATTGTGGTCAGGTGATTATGTAATACCTGTGATGGGCCTACCAGTAGTGTTGTGAAAGGGTGGGGGCTTGCCAGTGTGTTGCCAGTAGGTTAGTGCCCAGGCTGGTAATCTGCTGATTTATTAGAAGGACTTGAATATTCCCTGGATGTATGTGTAGTATTTCTTAATATATCAATAAAGGCAATAAGTGTCCTGATGAGTAAAGGCAGTCTGTGTTTTAATGTCATTTTAATAACATTTTGCTGTCTAATCCTCTACAGCCATGGACCAGGATTATGAGAGTCGGCTGCTACGACAAATCAATATACAGAATGACAACGCCAGCCCCATTGTGAGTCTGAGTTTCATCTTGATGTTTTTTTGAAGCTTCAAATGGTTTCATGTGATGTTTTCATTGGGTAATCATTGACCACTGCCTCAGTTATGGAGGTGGCGCAGGTGGAGGGGGCTAAATATCAAGGCTAGTTTTACCAGCTGTGAAGAGGGAAACGGCCAAATATCGTTTTCTGTGAATGGAAGCAACAGAGGTGTTTTCTTATCTCCGATATAGTAGCTTTTTATGGTTGAAGGAATAAGTGTCCTTAAATTTACATTCTGTTGATGGAGCAAGATTTTATTTTAAATCATTTTACCTGTTTCTGTTGTTCCGTCCATCATGAAATGTTCACACAATGTAATAAAAAAAGGTTTTAAAAGTTGTTCCTATGTCAATGATATATTGAGTATTTTCTCTGAGATTATGGCCATCTATATGATCCATGGATATACTCTGTCTGGGTAGGACACAGGTCTGAAAGTGCATTCCTATAGATCACTGTTTCAAAATCCTGGTCCTAGAGTAGCCCTGAACTGCACAGGGTGTTCTGTTTCTCAGAGACAGAAATATGCAGTTCAGTGATACTGTAGGACAGTTAATGGGAAATATTAGTACATAAGCACTATGATGATTATCTCTCTTTTTTCTGCAGAAGGTGACAGAGGTCATGCAAGCACTGACGCCCACAAACTCACCCCTGTCCTCACCAAGTAAACACGGAGATCGCTTCATCCCGTCCCGCGCTGGAGCCAACTGGAGCGTCAACTTCCACCGCATAAATGTAAGCCTCTAAACTGACGCAGTAGTTTGGTGCAAAATCTAATTTATATAATCGCATTTCCAAACAGAGTGCTGCTTTATCCAATTTTATAGATAACAGCCTGTTATACAGTGTCAGAAACCATATCAGCAAGTCTGTTTGAGCTTACTTAAAGGGGAATTCCAGCAATTTTCTGCATGATTAAATGCTTACACAAAAAAGTAATTCACAATGGTTTGGTGTGAAATTCTTCATTGAGAAACTGACTATGGTAGTGATAGGAACCAGACATCTGAAAAGCATTTAAAAGCTACCTCGCAGCAAGTTATTAATGGTAACAAATACGCTGTTTGATGTCTGAAAGACTGTTTTATGATAGTTTTTAAATATGTTTTTAGGCTAAATTGTTGTGGTACATGCAGGGTGTTGTAAGGCAAATAGTCCCCTTATTTTTTCATTATCAACATTACATAAATTCGTGTAGACACAAATAGGTTCACCGGTGGTTTTGGATAGTCCATAAAATATATTCCCATTGTACATATGACGACTCCTGGTTCCGATCACCAGCACAGTGAAGAAAACTGGCTTGGTAAGTTTCTGTTCAATGCGCCATTTCACATCAAATCATTCTCGGTGCCTGAATTATGCAGAAATTGTGAATTTTGTGGAATTCCTTTTTAACAATTCACTGTAGTTTGAGGCAGGTGCGTTTGATTTAGGCTGTTTGGCCGATGCTAATTGCTAGATAGAAACTTGCATTACTTGTTTGGGATATTGTCGCTAACAGGCAGCTCCAGTGAAAAAACTGAAGAAGCAAACTACAGATACCAAACAAGTCTTGGCTAATCAACTACATTTGATGTGAGGGGGAAAACTGTGGATTTTATTATTTATTTTTTTGCTGAACTATCTCTTTTAGAAAGTTCCTTAACAAAGCTCTCTTTGCCCAGCATGCATTTTAGTAGACTCACATTGTTACCGGAAAAATCCCATTCTTTACTGCAGTGTTATGGTATTTTGTCTTTTATTCAAAGGAAAACGAAAAGTCATACAGCCAAAACAGGAAGACAAAGGATGGCACCTCAGACAACAGCAAAGGTAACCTTTCAGCCTTGGATTTTTTTTTCTTTGTCTTTTGTGTAAGCTATAGTGTAGTTTTGTCTTTGCCAGTGTTCATTACATGATGAAAATGGTAAAGAAAAAAAGGCACTCTGGGTTTTTGGCCAAAAGAGGGGAAAAAATACAAACATTTTTGGCCACAAAAAACCCCAAAGGTTAAATAAGACTACAACAAAATATAAGACTTTACTATGTGCGTGCGTGCGTGCGTGCGTGCGTGCGTGCGTGCGTGTGTGCGTGCGTGTGTGCGTGCGTGCGTGTGCGTGTGTGCGTATTATGTATTTTCCATATGTCACTTAGTTGAGATGCAGCTGGCAGTGCCACCTTTTAATTTTTACCTTGTATTTAATTATATATTAAGACAGTTCTCAAACATTATAAGCTCCAGTTTTCAGTTTTATTAACTCCAAACATCTGTCACTGGTTAACGCTAGTTATCATACCTTTTGTAGATAGTCCACAGGTTTTCGCTGTATTAGAACTGGATTCCCAATGGGGGCAGGGTTGTCAGATCCAGTAAACATTTTAAAAGCTGTCCACCAGATGTAGAAAGGTTACAATTTTCTAGCCCAGTTTAGCAGGAAAACCCTGAACCTGGCAACCCTGATGATGGGTGCACTGTACCAAAGACCACACTAAGCAAACTCATGGGCACTCCCTTGAATGTGAAATTGGGACACTGTACAGCTTCGTGGCCTTCACATGCATGTGCTATTGAGGAGCAGAAACTGCAGGACTGCAAATGCAACAAGTGTGTGTGGGTTTTTTTTGTTATTGTTGTTTTCTGCAGCAAAACAATAGAAGCCATATCTTCCCCCAGTGTCATCTGTAGCGTATTGCAATCTGTTCAAATAACCAAGTATATGATATGAACACTGCAAAGCATTCTACAGCATAAAGCTTGTTCTAAAGTAAATGAAACATCAACTTTTTCTCCTAACTGACACCATTAATGACTTTAGTGACTAATCACTGCAGCCCTAGTAGAAATAGGCAAGTATTATGTGTCATTTGCGGTTCAGGTGAAAGACTGTGTGGATATATAACAGCATTGAGCAGTCTGTTTAATATGAACCTGTTCTCTGCTCAAAACATTCAGACAAGGCCTCCCTTATGGCAGCCTGGTAACTATGACAACCGGGTTCTAGTTTGCCTCCAGTGCACTCACTCACCCCTTCCTATCCTTCTGTTTGTTGATCTTTCTCTTTTTCTCTCCCTTCTGGGTTTCTGTCTGTCGTTTGGATTCCTTTCCCCTTTCGATTCCTCACTGTTTTCTTACTTTGTTTCTTTCTTTCTTCTTTCAGCTTTGCTTTTGTGTGGTTTTGTATTTTCGTATTGTTGTCTAAATTCTTTCATTCTCCCCGTCTCCCTCTCTCTGTCAGATGGCCTGGCATACTCGGCCCTGCTGAAGAACGAGCTACTGGGGGCGGGCATTGAGAAGGTGCAGGACCCTCAGACGGAGGACCGGCGGCTGCAGCCGTCCACTCCAGAGAAGAGGAGCCTGTTTAGCGTGAGTGACCGCTGAGAGACAACGAATGCAGTCACGATTCTACTTGCACACAATCCCCACAAGACCCTAAATGTCGTTGTGTATTTTCACATCATTTAGGTAGCCACTACTCTGAAAGCTTTTGGGTAATGAAAAAAATGAATAATGAACAGATGATCAAAAAGTATGAATATAAAACTATTTAAACTAATTAAAAAAAACAATGCAATTGGACCACCCACCCCCATGGTGGAGGTATGGCTTAATGTGGGTAAGGCACCCAAACATTGCAGTATTGAAAATTTGCCTCCGCAACAGCCCTATAAGCTCTCCCACTCCCACTCGTGCCATCGGCTTTGTTCAGCTTCAGCACGAAGGACACGGCAGAGGAGGAGTTCTAGAGTAGGCGGTTTCCGAATGGCCTTGGATTTGTGTTTGTGTGAATGGAGGTAACATACTTGCTAAAGCTGACCATTTACCATTCACTAAACAAAACATAAAAGAAGTTTTGGTTTGGTTGGCAGGATTGCACATTTTCTGAATTTCAGCCTGATGGTAGTATAACCAATGATTAAATGATCTGGACCTTTTTGTACATCGGTTTAAGGAGGATGTGCAGGACTGTGGAAGATCTGTGGATTCTTTTCGTTAGGGCTGCACAATATTAACAAAATGCTAGTATTACGATTATATTGCTATATATTATGATTGTGATATGCCTTGTAATTATGGTTGCACCAATCTTACTTTTTTAAATGGCCAGTTACAATTTCTTTATGGCTCAATATTTTTTATTTTATTTTATTTATTTATTTATTTATTTATATTTTATTATTATTTTTTTTTTAAATTAAACAGGCTGTTTTTGTTACTGTGCCTTTAGAATGTGTTTAGTAGGTGTTTTTGAGTAGGGCAGTTACCAAAGCGTTCTGGACAGTGGGCCTCCACGACCAGAGTTCAATACTCCTGGGTTTGGGGGTTCATTTGTGTTTTGCAGCAGGGACCAACAATATATGGTGCAGTTGTGCATCTGGTCTGGGTTTTTTCTCACCAGTTATGTGAACAGTTAAAGGCCCAGGGAACCTAAATCCCTGTTTTCTATTTCTCTTGTGGGCACACAATATATAAGTACGTCCTGTGAATAACGTGTGTGTGTGTGTGTGTGTGTGTGTGTGTGTGTGTGTGTGTGTGTCATAGTGGGGTCTACAACTCATCGTGTTTTTTTTTTTTTTTTTTTTTTTTGTTTTTTTTCCTCCCCAGTCTATTCAAACTTTGCTGGATATTTAATATAACACTCAATTTTCATACAAACATTTTAAACATTTTACACTGTGTTCCCTGGAACCTTAAGGTTAGATAAGTGTGGAACATGTACATTTTGGCGTGGCACAATTATTACATTATCACCCGATCAGTTGTTTGAGCTGCCCCAATTACTTAAGGCCTTTACAAACATATGTTCATGTTGCAAGAAACAAAATTTGAATTGGGTATATTTTCATCAGACGTGTTGAGGCAAATACATGCAAATAAAAAAAAAGTAGAAAACATTTATTTAGACACGTCACGGGTCTTACAAAACCACAAGATCTCTGACTTAGTGCTGACATCTTTAGAGGGCAGTAGTGAGTAATGTTTGTTTATTTGAGCTTGTTTCTGTTGTCATTTGGGAGCTATTAAGTATCAACAGCTAAGAAGCAAGATCAGCCAATTTGGCCACTTTAAGGTTATATTGAACATATATTGAACAAAAAGACTATTAAATTGCTAATTGCAGTTATTTATATGGCAGTTAGACGTTAGAGAATATATCATGATTGTGACGAGCCTAACTGTTATTGATGTGTGTTTGTGTGTGTTTTGCAGTATTCTTTAAGTGCCAAACGCTCAGTTCCAGATGATGGCAACAGCATCTCCCCTTACTCCCTGTCACTAGTCAGCAGTAACAGGTAACGGTCCTCATATGATTCATGACCTCTCACGACTCGGATTATGAATGATTGTGTTTTTCTGTGTGGGATCCACAGAGCTGCTAGTTCTGAGAGATAGAGGAAGTGTATGAGCAGTGTATGAACAGATCCCCAGTGATGGTGTATCAAACGTGACTAGATTTAAGGGGTGGGCGATGTGTAAAAAGATATAACGTGATACTTTAATACACTAAGCATCATGATATTTAGTTTTTCTGAGGTTTGGAAAAAAGACAGTAGTGGCACCTTTAAGAGGATCACTATCAAAACCCAAGCATCCTTTTTCAAGCTGTGCTATCTCAAGTAAATTATTAAATAAAGGTGAGGAGTTGAATATTTTATTGAGTGCATGTCTTCCTTTTGGTTTTTCAGAACTCGAGTTAATAAAAAGTAAGGGCATATAATTAAGTCATTGAGTCACAACAAGAAAAAACAAACAAATGAGAAAAATAAGTATAAGATTTAAGTGCATAGCTTTGAGTTTGCAGAGGCTGAAGCAGAGGTCATCTTTAATTGCAGTTGTCTGCTGTTACCTCAGCAGATTCTGCATTTCATTTAACGAGTTTGTCTAGTTGTGTCCTCATTGTCCTCTCCTGTGTCTCTTTTAGTCAGAAGCTGTTGCGGTCTCCACGGAAACCTATGCGCAAGATCTCAAAGATTCCTTTTAAGGTGCTGGACGCCCCGGAGCTTCAGGACGACTTCTACCTCAACCTGGTGGACTGGTCCTCGTTAAACGTGCTTAGTGTTGGCCTTGGGACCTGCGTGTACCTGTGGAGTGCCTGCACCAGCCAGGTGGGTGTTTATCTGAGAAGAGTCGGAGGCTGTTACCTGCAAATCGTGGGTTGATTTGTTTGCTAATATATTTCCCACCTGTGTCTGCAGGTGACGAGGTTGTGTGATCTGTCAGTAGAAGGCGACTCTGTGACTTCAGTAGGCTGGTCGGAGAGGGTAAGAAAGCTTGGATTATTGGTGTTTATTAGCCTTTTCTTTCACTCTAGATAGTTTCACAACCTGTTTCACTTGTTGTGACTTGAAGTGTACATGGTAGTTTTAAGCAGACCCTTTTTTGTGTTTTAGCTGGGCTGTGGTTTCCCAGTCCAACTTCACACTTCAGTGTCTCTCTGTTGTATCACCTTACCCTAACAGCAAGCGAAAACAAGAACATAACGCTGCCATTCTAATCAATGAAGCTGTCTACACCAGCTGTGAGTGGCAAAGCGTGATGTGGAGCGTTGTTATGTGGCTTTTTCTGACTGACGGCCCATTTCTATTTTTGACATGTCACGTGGCTCTACCATTCCACCTCAAAACAGATGAGGACAGACTCACCTATGAAGTGGAGAAAAGGCCTTTCCAGATACCAAATATTATAAGCATTTTAATTGTTCTGTTAATGACATTTGTTATTTAAAGTTAATATATATCTTGCTGCTGTCGGGACAAAACCTCGTATCTCCACTTTTGTTTCATTTTTTTGACATAGTTTGAAAAAGGCAGCTTTCCTTTATGTTGTGTTGAAATTTCATGATGAATGGACCCACAGAAATGGTCCAAAAAAAAATTTTTTTCTCCATTTAGTTCTACTAAAAGTTAAGAAAACTTTACGGAACAATGAAAAACTTGAAAAACACAATTGTAAAGTATGTGCCTAAAATATCCTAGTAACATTACGCTGACATTTACATGCTGGTGATAAATAGCGTAGCTATGTTGAAGTATGGTACTTGTAGTTTTTAGTTATCTTTTGATAGGTCTGTGGTTCCAGAAGGATGTTCTGGTATCCATCAAGAACTCATCAAAAAAATCTTGCCACTGCTTTCAGTGAAAACAAAGTGTTCACAGACAACAGACACCAATGCTTGGCAATTGAGTTGAGTTTTGATGGAATGTGCTCTGTAACCATGCATCAGCCAAAAGGAGACTGAAGTACAGCACAATAATGTCCAACATACTGGATCGGTTTTCGCACTGATACTTGCCCTAATAAAGGGTCTGGTGTTGGTCAGATGGCACTAATCCGTTATCAGTAATGTTTCTTAGACAAACTAGTTACTCTAAAATGGAAGAGGTTAATGCAATACGATACAAATTCCCACTTCGTTACTAGCAAATATGAATGTGTTCTTCTACAAGCCACTGCAGTGTGTCAAAATAAAAGCCCCTCTTAACCAAGCATGACATAGCGTATCAGAATAAAAGCGCTGTGCTGGATGTCTTTTCTAATTCTGTTGTGCTACCCACAAGCTTTGTCAGTAAACAAATACTTCAGACTTTTAAATTCTTTTATATAATGTGAGATAAAAAATAAGCATTGCCAGATTTTGGGATGATGAGATGCTAAGGTGATGGTTAGACTTTTACTAATTACTAATAAATTCAAAGAATATGGTTGAATATGAAATACTTTTCCAGTGTGCCTCATTTTAAATATCTTTTAAAAGAAATAATGTCCTTAAAATAAATATCATGTTATGTATCACCCTGTATAATAAATACTTAAATGTAGTATTTCAATATATTATTTCAATTAAAGAAAGAAAAAAATATTGGATCAGTACTCATATTTTCCCGATATCCTGAGCTTAGGTGTCAGAACCGATATCAGGACCTAGTAAGGTGGATTGGTGTATCGCTAGTTAATGCTGAGCAAGATGAAGGAGGAACTACCGCTGTGGTCATCACACATCCATAGCTGTGCAATCCAACTCTAAAAAATCTATAAGTAATGTTTGTGGTAAGCCTTGCCCTTTTCACTTCTTCCTGTGTAAAATAACAGCCTTAATTTTCACTTATGAGCATTTAGGCTTCAATTAGTTTCCCACGCACTTTACTTTCTGCCTATAAACGCACCTACCAGCAAAGCAGCAACAAGTGTCAATGGGTTTTGGGATGTAGACCAATGTGTCCTAAGAATAGTCCCTGAAAGGCTTGATGACTACCTGGCTACTGAGCCAGTGAATCAGAGATGTTTAGACTGTGCAGAGCAGGTGGACCAGTAGTTAAACTCATTCCACTGATGGCTGAGAAATGGCTGTGTACTAATGCACCACTGTGCTTTTGTTTTAGGGGAGCTTGGTGGCAGTGGGCACTCATAAGGGTTTTGTGCAGATTTGGGATGCGGCTGCAGGAAAAAAGCTCTCTGTATTAGAGGGCCACACAGCCAGAGTGGGTGAGTGTACTGCTACTTGGAGCTTGACTGTTTGCTTAGTACACTCTACTTGTTTCAGATCAGTTTATGTTCTGTCTCTTTTAAAGTGGCCTAGACATTGACCTGAAACATGTCAGCTGTGCCTAGTGCCCTTAATCCTCTTTGTCCCTCGATAACGGTGTCTCTGTCTGTGTGCCTGCGTGCATGTATGTTGCTATCTGTGCGTGTGGGTGCTGTGTTTTTTTGGTTTTTTTTTTCTTTTTTTCCCTTCTCTTTTTTTTCCCCCCCCTCCTCCTCTCAGGCGCGTTGGCGTGGAACGTGGACCAGCTGTCTTCAGGCAGCAGGGACAGGCTAATCCTGCAGAGGGATATCCGGGCCCCTCCACTACAGTCCGAACGCAAGCTCCTGGGTCACCGGCAAGAAGTGTGCGGCCTAAAGTGGAGCACAGACCACCAGCTCCTCGCCTCAGGTGGCAATGACAACAAGGTATCCCACCTTGCGTATTATAAGCTACAAACTTTGCTAGACAGCAGGTGATGGCTGGGATTCTGCTGACATTCTGCTGTCAAATTGCCCTGTGTTTTTGATATTTGATGATATTTGTTCAGTGTATTATTATTTTTTATTTTTTATTTATTTTTATTTTTTTTCAGTGTATGTGAATTGAAGGGGTATTTCACAAAGCAGAATTTCTCATTTGGCCAACTAAATTAAAAGGCTTATTGTGGAAAACCAAACATACAGTACTGTTGTACTGTACAGATTCATGTATAGAGCTAGGCAAAAGTCATAGATGCCTAAGAAAAGTTTAAACCCATTTTTCTGTGTTTTTTGCTTGTAAAAACACTGTATAACATTAGAATAATGCAAACAAATGTCAGTGCAGTAAAAAGTAACAAGAATTTCTTAATTTCAAAAGAGCAGTTTATATCTTTAGTGCTACTTAGAAGGTTTGGCTCCTGACTTTTCTACAATGCCCCATTTCAAAGGTTTGTTCAAATCCACCAGCATCACACCTGATTTAACCTAATGAAGCACTATTTAACCAAACTAAGTATTGGATGATAACTACAATTAATACTGGGCTGCCATGAGGAAACTTTGGAAATACAAATAAACACATTGACCTGTAGAATCACTGTGTATTGTATACGCATAAAATAGTGGTCTTATGTACATCAATGTGTTCTTAATTAGTTTTTATTCTAATATTAGTGCTTCTCTCAGCAAATAACTAACTACTGCCCAGATAAATAGCATTTTAAATAGAAATTTCTTAAATGCATAAGACTTTTGCACTGTACTTTTCAGTACAGTGTAAACACTGTTGAAATTTCAAATTGGAAAAGAATCTTGAAAAAACAGCCCATCTTTTGATGTCACAAAAAACAGTGCATGTATGTATTCCTACCCGTTCAGCCCAAAGCTGTTTAGCTCCACTCATTCACACTAAAGTTATAAGAGGTGTTTCAGTCCAGACTGCTTTTTGTATGAGGCACAATACAGGAGAGCCAATCATATATCATTTACATATAATTTACATATAATAAAATGGCAACTCTCACTTCAGGCTTAAATTATCCATCTTGCTGTAAAATAGCCCTGAGGTGGATGTCTTGTGATCAGGTCATATGTGCATATGTCAGTGTGCAGATTTAGGATGCGTTTTTGCCTTTCTTACTTTCTCACACTAACAAGTACAGTCATGTGTACACAGAAACGTGCAAGTCTCTCAGACTCACTCTCTCTCTCTCTCTCTCTCCCTCCCTCTCTAAAGCTGTTAGTGTGGAACCACTCCAGCGTCTCGCCCATGCAGCAGTACACAGAGCACTTGGCGGCCGTGAAAGCCATCGCCTGGTCGCCTCACCAGCACGGTCTGCTCGCATCCGGCGGGGGAACAGCTGACCGCTGCATCCGCTTCTGGAACACGCTGACCGGGCAGCCTCTGCAGTCCACTGACACCGGCTCACAGGTCTGCAACCTGGCCTGGTCCAAACACACCAATGAACTGGTACGTACATCTCTCAGGACCACACACAGGGGTTCAAATGTAGTAAGAATGTAGCTGTTTTGACTCCAAATGTCATTGAAGTACCAACCCTTATATTGAGTTCCAGTTCTATTAAGTTGCTCCGATGTGATTTAGAATCATATTCTGTATTAACATTTACTGAATGTAATTAGAATCGTATTCTAGCTTTTACAGTGTATTTTTAGCTAAACATTGTAGTTGGAGTTTCAGTATTATAATTCTGAAGAGAGAGCTGGGCAATGTAGACATTACTTTATTGTAGATTTATTTCTAAACAAAGCTGCAAGTAAATAATCAATCACTGAGGCCATTTTCTGTACCTATTTACTGTATTATGATCATTTGTTGCCTGTAATTAATCATGTTTTGTTTATCCCATTAATTAATATCATATATTGTTAGATAGTCATCACAATTTTTTTAGAGGGTCAGAGATACAATTTTGCAATTTGAGAGTTGGGGCTTATTTTGATGAGCACCCTTTCCACAGGTCAGCACACATGGATACTCTCAGAATCAGATCCTGGTGTGGAAGTACCCCTCCCTCACACAGGTGGCCAAGCTCACCGGACATTCCTACAGAGTGCTATATCTGGTAAAGAACACTTGGATGTTTGTCACAATCAGTTTTTCACCCACAAATGCCTTCTTTCATAGCTACTGATAAAAAGTTGGAAAAGCTTTACAGAAATTCCATTTAACCTTATGAGAGAAGTTGTTGGACACTTCGGTTATACATGAAAAATTCATATATTTTGTCAAGAGTGTAAGAATATACTGAAGCTACGTATATACATTATATACATGTATACACAATATACAGCTCAGCTAGGCTGTTAAGTCATGGCACATTAGCTTGTATTCCCCTGTCAAACAGATATGCTCAAAGGCTGTTCATGCTGATCTAATGGTCAGTAAAGACATTGACTTGTCATCCATTGCAGTAAATCAGAAACATGGGCTGACATGCTCTGTGATTCGCCTGAGAAACTTTAGACACATTTGACTAAGTCGGCAGCAGCCATGAAAACAGAGAAAATAAAGTGCTGTTAGCAGCCTTGCCAAGAATTTTTCTCTTTAGAATAGAGATTAATGTAAGGCTGTTGAAGAATATGTGCCATTTACATTGTGTGATTAAAATAATGTAGGTTCTGCATAACATCAACACTAATAACATTATGGGATTTTTTTTTTTTTTTAAATAAAATCAGATGTGAAGAGAATTTTACTCCTCTGTCCAGCAATCCGAATCATTCCCATACACCAAAAATTCCTAGAAAAAACTATATATGTTTATTTAGGTTTGTGAAAGTCTGAAATTGGAGCTTTCTATAACCTCAGATAAGATGGTAAGCTCTGATTTGAAGCTCTGCTTTGTTAGGTCTTGTTTGGGTGAACGTTCATGCCCTTATTCCAGACAGAGCTGTGTGTTTTTTTTTTGTATTATTCTGAAATGTTCTGTGCTGGTTTCCTGCAGGCCATGTCGCCGGATGGGGAGGCCATAGTTACTGGAGCAGGAGATGAGACTCTGCGCTTCTGGAACGTCTTCAGCAAAACCAGATCCACCAAGGTACCATTAGCCATAGGTTACACAAGGCCAGAAACACACCCCACACGGTCCTGTTATACTCAATTTGAGGTCTTGCACTTGCAGAGGATGGACAAATGCATTGGCTTGGCTAATGTCTGTTGTAGCACCACCTTGTTTAGATGGTACAGTTACATGTGAAGTTTATATACTGGTATGGCTTGTCATTTTTGGCCTTAATCCTATGGGATTAGTAAATCAAAATCCAGTCAAATCAAATCATGTTTGTCACATCACATTTACACAGGTGTGAAGATGAGTGAAAATCTTAGGTGCGCAGCCCCCTTGTAGTACTTAAATATATAAAGAATATATAAGAAAATATATATACATATACATACACATTAGACTATATACACATTCACAAGATACACATTTGTATGCACACAGTATTGCACCATTCCAATACACAGTTTTTGTACAGAAATATAAGTTATGACAAAGAAGCTATAATATGTACACATTTCCATATATGCACATTTGTGTGGACACATTTGGATATTTACAGAGAATGAAAGGCAGTTTGTGTGTAGACTTGTGTAGTATTTAGCCCAGTATTGGGTGGGTGTTAACTTGACGCTAGCATACAATGGAAAATCTCATATTCCCGCCAGCAGAAATTAGCATTCTTGTCACCACTATTTTTCGATAAGCAAACATTCCAACATTCCACATTAAGCTCTTGTATATATTAGCCCTGGTGCGGCATGTTTGTGATGATTATATGATGGAGTGCAATATATGCCAATTTTAGGGTGGTACATTATAGGTATTATTGTATGGTCCATGCTTTTATCTGAAGTTGGAGCAATGTAACAACAGATGTGTGATGCTTTAGGACTTGGGATGCAAGATGGAAACTTAATCCATCTGCTGCTGTTTTTACATCTTAAATCTTACTGTATGGTGTACTAACTAAGGCTATCTCAGGTATCTGTGTAACTGAATACAGTGAAATGCTGATATCTTTATGTTTTCTCCTTTTTCAGGAATCTATATCAGTTTTAAATCTGTTTACAAGGATCCGGTAATATCTGCATGCATTTGGACATGCTAACATTAAGGACTCCCATGGGAACATACGCTGATTATCACCGTGATAACCTGAGCGACTGATGGACGTTAGACCACACCTCCTCTTCTGTGGTGCTGTTTTGAAGAACTGGGAATAGACAGAGGGGCACTGTGGGAAATGTGTCCCCTTAGATTTTACTTCAGAGAGGAGCGGTTGCATTACTGCCAAATAACTAACGTGTGAATGTTTATTTGTTGGTTTGTTTAAGTTTCTTTTCACCACTGTGCTTTTCTAAATCTTGTGTGCTTTTCCCTCCCCCGCAGTTGTGTTTGTGATAATGAGCTTTGTGCCCATTAGCCTTAACTGCAGTGTTGAGTTAACCTCAGAGGGTCAACGTTAGGCCTTGGAACATTGCAGCTACATTTTCTTATTATTTTTAACAAATTATTTATTTGAGCTTAGCTCCCTGCTTTTGTAATCTAACTTGTTTGGTTTTTTTTTTATAGAAAAAAAAAATCAGATCATATATTTAATTGACATATCATAGATAAATATTCTGTTTAAAACTGCATTTACATTTGGACCCTTTGTGTTTCTGTGTTATGAATCATTTGACATAATCGCAGCAATTGCTTTAAATTCAGCTTTTGATTCTCAAGTTGGCAAGAACTTCCATTATGTCTATAACACACAGTACAGCATAATGTATCTTAAACTACATCCCAACCAGTGGAACCACTGTTTTACTTCAGCAGACTAAATTTCTGTGGTATGAAACATTTAGTCCTCTGCACTTGAATTATTCCAAGTTGTTAGATGTAAATTGTTATTGTTCTTTTCTATTTTTTTATTATTATTATTATTATTATTATTTTCTTTTTATTTAGTTTTTACTTTTTTTTTGGTAAATCAGATTTCTTTTTTAACTTGGCTTGTGGTTTGAATGCTGTGCTGGGCCGGTGAGAATGAATGGTATTTATTTGATTCGTGAGGCTGTGTTGACTTGTTTGTGCAGACATTTTATGTAAGTTGAAAGACGGATGCTTGCCTTTGTATATGTTTTGCAAACAAATTCTACATAGTTGCAGTGTCGGAACAGCTTAAAAATGTTCTAGAAAAAGAGAGAAGAAAACGAAAATGAGGAGTTTCTTACTGAGGAGAGTGAATAAATGTAAGTGTTCCATGTTTTGTGTGTCTCTTGCTTTGGCTGATCCAGTTCATGTTAAAAATCTTTAGTCTATAGGTAGCGCTGGAAACCTCTTCACTGAATTGAGGCTTTCATTGTATGTGTGTGAATGAGATGAGTAGGTTTGAATCGTGTTGGGTAGAAATTCCATGGTCAGTGCTGAGGCACTTGAATTGGTGCCCTTTTCCCCTCTCAAACATATACAAAAGTCAACATGAATGCCTCTAATGTTGGCTTGTAATGGTGCAAACGTATATTGTGGATGATCTTATTGGCTGTTTGGGACTCAGTCTTCTGCAGTGGGTGCTATGATGCTAATAGGCGTGATGAAGAGGATCAACACACAAATCTCACCATATCAGACATATTTCACGTTCTGCATTTTTTTAAATTGACGTCTTTCACGCTGTAGGAAAACAGGCATTTTGTTTGGTCTACTGAAACTGGCAATCTGAGGCGTGCCCACAGACGATTGGAAAGGGAGAGAGATGTACATTGCTTCAGGTTTGGAATAAAAACAGTAATAAGGGTTGTTTCATACAGAAGCCCTCGAAGGCCATGGAATCTTTATATATATATATATTAATATATATATATATATATATATATATATATATATACACACACCACCAATCAGGACCACCTCCTTTTTTCTACACTCATTTTATCAGCTCCTTTTACTATATAGGTGCATTTTGTAGTTCTACAATTACAGACTATAGTCCATGTGTTTCTCTGCATACTTTGTTAGCCCCCTTTTACCCTGTTCCTCAGTGGTCAGGACCCCCATGGACCCTCACCCCTCACAGAGCAGGTACTATTTGGGTGGTGGATTATTCTCAGCACTGCAGTAACACTGACGTGGTGGTGGTGTGTTAGTGTGTGTTGCGCTGGTCTGAGTGGATCAGACACAGCAGTGCTTCTGGAGTTTTTAAACACCTCAGCATCACTGCTGGACTGAGAATAGTCCACCAACCAAAAATATCCAGCCAACAGCATCCTGTGACCACTGCTGAAGGACAAGAGGATGACCAACACAAACTGTGCAGCAGCAGATGAGCTACCGTTTCTGACTTTACATCTACAAGGTTGACTGACAAGGTATCTGTGTCTAATAGAGTGGACAGTGAGTGGACACTGTTTAAAAACTTTTAAACCCCAGTAGTACCTGCTCTGGGGGTCCTGACCACTGAAGAACAGGGTAAAAGGGGGCTAACAAAGTATGCAGAGAAACAGATGGACTACAGGCTGTAATTGTAGAACTACAAAGTGCACCTATATATGTTATGCCTGATCGGTGTAAATGTCCTGTGTTCTCAAGTTAATTTAGATCTCAAGTAACTTGTCATTATCACAGCATAGAGAATTTTGCTTCCTAAGATAATGAAGTAATGATTTAGAGAAGAGAAATCTTTGTTTTCCCAAAATAACTTCAAAGGATGGTGTTGCCATATGGCAACAAATACTGTTTTCGTTTATAGCTTGTAATTCCTTTATATTTACAATTTAAAAGTCAAATATTTTCTTTTGGCAAACTGAAGGATTTCTGGGTAACATGGTATACTTGTATCTGGCCATATGCCTGCTTGTTGTAGTCTGTACTTTTTTCTACTTGATAGCACACATCGCTCAGTGAAACTTCTGAAACCTTCTCAAAGTGTATCATTTTGAATTTATACACAACTTCAAGAAAAAAGTAAACAGTCTGTGGGAGCCTACAATATCTTTTTCATAAATGAAAACAGATGCTATGGGTTTATAAAAGAAACTATAATTGTTGCCATATGGCAACAGTCTGCGACAATGGAGCTGCAGTCTGCAGTGCACACAATGGCAGTAAATGAATAAATATACTGCTATTAGACACTGCCATTTCACATCACTTCACTTTGTGTTTTTTTTATATGCCTGGATGATGAGCGTGGTTATGTGCTGTGGGGTATCGACTCATTTTCAATGTGTGCGTTGCAGATTGCGGTTACATTTTTGAATACTGTTGCCATATGGCACATGATTCAATGTACACTGCCCCAATTTTTTCACTCAGCATTGCATCCAAAACTCAACAAATGCTGGTTTTGTTGGTGACCAGCTATGTTTGTCTACAGCATGCCTTGTTACGCTAGCTTTGGCAGAAAACTTCTAATATATTTGAATTTAGTATGAAGATACAGTAATCATAAAACACTTTTGATTTAGTATTTGTATGGTGCAGTTTCAAAAATAAAGATGTCATTCAGTACCTTTTTCATACATTTGAAGACCTACATTTGAAATTACAGGCGTGGGACATGAACGTGGTAGTTTATCCAAAAATATGCCTCGTAAATTGCATTAGCTCAGTACATTGAGCCTAAAAAAGAATGAATTTCAAGCTGGTCTAAACTGGTTTATGCTGGTCTGATGCTGTTCGGGTGCTGGCTTAGCTGTCCACCCAGCATGGTTTTGCTGGTTGACCAGCATATCAGCATCCAAAACACACACACTGGTTTTGGTGGTGATCAAAAACCATGAAGACACTATTAAACTGTTTGCTGTGCGTTATGATACGTATATTAATAGATATCCAAAATTCACTGCTGGGACCTGTAGTTGTGGCTGTAGTTGCAGAAACACTCAAATATACCGACTGGCCACTTTATTAAGTACACCTACCTTGTATCTTCACTCATTGTCCATTTTATCAGCTCCACTTACCATACATGTGACCTTTGTAGTCCTACAGTTACAGACTGTAGTCCATCTGTTTCTCTGCATACTTTGTTAGCCCCCTTTCACCCTGTTCTTCAGTGGTCAGGACCCCAAAGGACCACCACAGAGCAGGTAGTATTTGGGTGGTGGATCATTCTCAGCACTACAGTGACAGTGACGACGTGGTGGTGTGTTAGTGTGTGTTGCGCTGGTCTGAGTGGTTCTGACAGCAGTGCTGCTGGAGTTTTACACCTCAAGGTCACTGCTGGACTGAGAATAGTCCACCAACCACGACAGCGTCCTGTGACCGCTGATGAAGGACTAGAGAATGACCAACAAAAACTGTGCGGCAACACGAGCTACTGTCTCTGACTTTACATCTACAAAGTGGGCCAACAAGGTAGGTGAGTGGACAGTGAATGGACATAGTCCAGGGGCACTGCTATGGCTGATCCACTCGTACCAGTGCAGCACACACTAACACACCCCCACCACGTCAGTGTCACTGCAGTGTTGAGAATGATCCACCACCCAAATAATACCTGCTCTGTGGGCATCCTGACCACTGAGGAACAGGGTAAAAGGGGGCTAACAAAGTATGCAGAGAAACAGATGGACTACAGTCTGTAACTGTAGAACTACAAATATAGTAAGAGGAGCTGATAAAATGGACAAAGAGTGTAGTACAAGGAGGTGTATATGTGTCTTACATATACACATTGATATCAATGCAGCGTCATCAGTCCGGTTCACTCCGGTCACTGGGCTATGCTTCTGTTCTTCCTCTGTTCTACCACCAGGGGGCATTACTAACTCTCCCCCATAAACAATACATTCAGCCACCTTACAATAAGAGGTGATCTGTGCCACACTTTAAAAAGAAGCTGTTGTTTGGGTAAAGAAGCATGACTTTCTTTGTACTTTGGAGATTCGTGATTTTCCTGAATCTGCTCCACATCTCTGACAATTTCTCTGCAAATGGAATACTGCAGAATTGATATGGATGACGGAAAGTATCTGTGGTGATTGTCCTCATGGTAATATCAGAAGCGACCCACCCAACCACCTTAAAAGAGAAGACATCATTCTCCTCGTCTCATCACAAATCAAGTATTCCTCTCTCACAATCTTCCCTTCATCATTTAGCATTCATGAACCTCGTTTATTCCTCCACAGTTCTGATGAGAGAGAGAAAGGGATGATCGGGAGCAATCAGAAAAAAACGTTCCCCATTTTTTTTGTATGCAAAAAGACCCCATGCAGAATACTGTACATGGTTTGAGGCGAAGCTTTAGTGATTTACTATTAAATCAACACCTCACCACAAGCCTATTAATGCCATCATATTGCTGCTAGGCTGCAGTGATGAGGCCTCATTTTGGCATCAGCAGCTGAGGCTTGTGATTAAGGCCTGGATAGAACTGAAAATCTGGCTGCTTTTGTTGAATGCGATATTCAATTTTGGCTCTCATCATGTAACGTTTGGGGGCATTTTTTGCTGAATGTTTTAGACAGCAGTGAAAGCTGTATGTGTCCAGCTATAAAGAGCAGAGAAGCTGTTGTTTTTGGCAGATTCTACTACATTTATCGAGCCCATGTGATTCTCAATGTTAAATTTAACAACCTCTGATATAATCTAAACCAGCTAAATGCACTGACTATATTTGATCATTGATTCAGTTATCTTGCACATACAGAGGCCCAAAAATAATATTTGGAAAACTCTCTAGGCAAATTCCACTGAACTTTCAAAATTTCTGCACAGTTCAATAGATTAAGACGTAAACAAAGTCAGTCAGAGTGCTTTAAATGCTTCATTCTAGAGAAACTTACTTAGAGTCTAAATTGTTCACAGTGGTGGTGAAAGAAACCAGACGTCCAAAGAGTTTAAATACCCAGGGAACCTGAATCTGTGTTTTCTTTCTAATTGTGTGTGAAATACACATAAC